ACCTGAGGTAGCGGATGCAGGCTGCACCTCTCCTTTGCAACAGGGAAACCTCTTGGTTTCGTACCAGTCCTCCTGCAGCACGTTTTGCACACGCTGAACACTGACGAACGGCTTGCATCTTGAAGAGTTTTAGTTTAGCTGCTCTAGCTGACTCTTTTTAAGATTTGTTGAGCGATAAGTGCTGATTTTCTGTTTTTAAAAAAGTTAAAGGAAGTCCTGCTCACTTATTGATGGCTTGACTTTGTAGAATGAAGAAAAGAATCCAGAAAGTTTGAAGTCTGTTGAGTGAGTGCTGACAGTTCCACCCTTAGGATATTTATAAAGCCTCAGCCCCTGTTGATTACGTAAAAGGTATTGATCTGTTGACGTTGCTTGCAAATGTACGTATTTGGCTTTATCTAAAGTCCTACTGATACGTGCAGGACAAAGAGGCGGACAGTGACAGTTTGGACAACACTTTCCCTGTTCGTTGTACTTCATTCTCTGTGTACTTCTTGTTGCTCACTTCTGGAGGTTGTATCCCTGCTTTAGTTCAGATCAGGCCTAAACAATCCAGCATTACCAAGCCCAAGTTTGTAGACAATATGTTTGATGCCAATCTAACGCAAGTAATTATGCCTTGCATACAGTCCCTTTTAGAACATGGCCTTCATCTATCAACATGTATGCAATCCCTTCAGCAACTGGCTTTCATCTACAAAATATATATAGTTTCATACAGAAGTTCCAAATGTGTATATAGAAACAATAGTGATGTTAGGAACAACAGTAATTATAACATACTGCACAAAATTATAAAATAAAACTAGTGCACGGTTACAATAATAGACATAATCATGAGTCAAGAGAGCCCAGCTGAGTACGATAACTTTTATAAAATTTATATAATGTGCTTACCCAGACATGCAAAATGAAAGTACAATCTCAGTGTCAAGTCACAGGTTCCAACATTATCTAATCCTTAGTTTCTGTTTCAAATCAAACCTTTTACATTTAAATCTAATCTCAGGTTACCTTGCTGCAAAGTAAAAGAAAAGGTGTTTTCTAAGTGCCACTCATTGTTCAGTCAAGCCTGAATTGCAAATTGAATTCAAGTGAAAACAATACCACTGGGAATAAATCAACCAAGTGGCCTTTCAAGGCATTGCTGAATGTCGTGAAATTAACTTTTTTGTTTGTCTTTTTTCTGTGTCATTTAATGTATAACCAAGAATCCTGTTGCTTTGAAGAGCGTAAATTTTGTCTCCCAGCCAAATATAGTTCTGTTGTTTCATTCAAAGTTCAGATGGAGAAAGTTTGCTTTGGACAGATTACAGTCCAACCCCTGTCCATCCCTTTTTACTGACGCAGAATGGACGTAAATAGCTGACGAAACCCAGCAAGCACTCTCTAAACTCTGCTTGTTTACCAAACGGGTTAAGTCTTTGGGTTAATCCTTCAGGTTGAACAACTAAGCCCAAGAGATTTATGTTAATCATTTGGAATCTTACAACTCAAGATTTACTCTTCAACTGTGGGGGATTTACCAAACTATCTACTTCGGATCTTTCTTGGCAGATTGTATCACCTTCTTTCAACCCTGGAATCCTGAGCTCTGATCACTGACCTCGATGTAGCTGTGCAAGAGGGTGACACTGGAAAACGGCCCAAGGAGATAATGCAATGCACCAAATATAGCACTTTTTTGTCACTTCAGTGCTTTTTGAAATGTTCTAGAGACCAGGGTACACTCTCAAACTTTAATGTTTCAGTCACATTTTTGACC